CACAGCAGTGCACCAGTGGTGTCTTTATTGTTATTATGGCAATAACAAGTTCAAGTGTTCAGAGACTGAAACAATTGAAAAGCCCACAATCAATGATTACTGTGAAGCTACCGGTCCGTTCTGAGGAGCAGAAGAACTAAATGGAAACAGAAACCAAACCAAGTGGGACACCGTCCACATTCTCAACCAGGACATTGATTTATTACTGCTGCTAAATAATGCAGCAATCCTGAACCGGAACTCACTGGGAATAATGCAAAACAATGTAATTATGAACACTGCAGGACATATTGTTAGAAAAGTGTATTGACACATACAGTATACCACATTCACCTGAACCGCATCTATGTACCACATGAGTAAAGAGCTGCAGCATATGTGCCTACACTGTATTAATGATGTATGTGTTATACTGTGTATCGATGTTTTTACACACAAGAGATTCATTCATTGTCCTCATGTGAATATGAATTCTGTCAATTATAGATTTTCCCTTAAAATTGACTCTCCATGAAATAAATATCTAATTGACGCAAGATGCAAAATTATAATATAACGGAGAATTGTGTATGTGGATTAAGATTAAAATTTCTTCTTAATTTTTAATAATCTATGATTGTCCTTAAAACATCTCACTGCAATTTGGTTTTCTGGCCAGATAAAGATGACAGCAAATTAGAATGAGATCAACTGGGTTAATGTGTTGTTTGATTGTTTTGTTTAGAGACATCATGTGCAGATGATCAGCAGCACTCAGATCTGCTTTTAAAGGAAACTCTCTGCTACATGTGATTGTATCACACATTTGACAACCATACAAAAGAGTTACTGCTGATGTTTGAAGTACTGGACTGCTTGTTTCTATAAATAATATCTTCCTCAAAATAACCTGATTTCAATCAGCTCCAGACCTGGCCTGCTGAAGTGGAGAGGCAATGAAGGGTATTCAGAGCACAAGCACTGTAGAAATGATCACAGCAATTACGGAGATGAAAATATGTTCAATCAGCTGTGAAAGTGAGTACCAAGAAAGCTGCTGAGTTTCGGTAGATTTGCTTGATTTATCAAATATTATTGGATGTCTACTGACTGAAATACTCACGCTGTCAATTGCGGTTAGAAATAATAAAAAAGGTGGTTAGCGAGAGAGACGCAGTGGTGTCACAATCATCTGTGAGACATCACACTTTTATTTATCGGTATAAAATATTACAAGATCTTTACGTCAGAAACTGACGAGGGATGCACAGATTTTTTGGTGTCCGATTTATAGGTAAACGTGACTTACCAATGCTGACATCTCTGCATATTCCCTTTAACTGACAGCATGTACCAAAGGGAAACATTCTTTAGCATTTTATTCCTGTAATTTCGAAAGTTTCAACTGGATTTTATACTAATTTAATTTTGTCTTTCTAGGTATGACATATAAACTTCTCAGAAATGCTCTTTTCCAAAGTCTTTAAAACATCTTAAAGCACAGGGGCCTCAAACTCCTGGCCTGGGGGCCACTTCCAGCATGCTAATATCACATGATAAATCACTGATAATCGTTTTAATTTTTTTTCAATTATTAAAATACTTTAGTTTTTCATTCTTTATTTATTTTTTATTACATGTCGATTACTTATGTGCCCCCCCCCCCCAATGGTGACAGCAGTGCCCCCTATCATTTGAGTTAGATCGCTGTGGTACCACATACTTGTTTTAGGGTCAGATGTAAAAAAAAACATCATATTTGTCCATTGCATGACCAGCCATTGAATGTGTCATCCTTCCTCTGATGGTTTCTCAGGGAAATGTCAGGTTTGTCATTTTGCAGCTAAATAAAGGACATGCAGTGGAATTAGAAACATTTGTCAGCGAAGACAACATGCTTGTGAGGCAGGAGGATATCTGCCTTTTGGTGCCGTGTAAAGTGAGGAACACAGAGACACAGCTGCTCATGTCGGGACACACTGACACCAGCCTTGAAGACACACATCCACAGCATGCATATGTTGAAACACAAGAGCAGTGTGACAGTGTAACAGCAAAATACATATTATAATGAGGTCTCATTCATACAGGTACCGTCTCTTAACCTTTTCAAAAGCTGCTCCCTAAATTCAACGTAAACCTTATTCTTCATACGTCAGTCATCACCACCTGCATTATTAAGCCCAGGCTTTGTTCCTAATAATCACAGTTCTTTCTCAACAGCCAGTAGCACAGATCAGTTCAGTCCAGTTCACTTCATTTCCTGCCAAGGATACAAGAATATAACTGATATATCAGGAATGTTTTAGAGCTTTACTGAAGGAGACTGAACTATCAGGGTGGATCTTGTAACGCTCAACTTTGGATTGATCTGAAAATTTGCCGCCTTTCATTTTATTAACGTCCTGAGGCGACAAACTGAAGCCATTGAATTAAGGACTTTGATCAACATGAGACTTTTACACTGATGGACTGAAAACAAACCAACCAACCTATTTCTGTACTTTTAGTGAGTCAGACCAGAAGACCTGAAGATGGTGACTTGAAAGGTTGTGCACTTTTTTGTGTCAGAGAACATTTTATTGACTGCACTTTCAACAAGGTAATAACAAGGGCAGCTATCTACACTAGCTCTCTACTCTATGTTATATAGAAAAAGCTTTAGCGCAAAGATCAGACAAAGTTAATGATTGGTACCTTTTAAAAATAAAACATCTTTTAGACTTTGGTCTGTTATTGTCGGAGCATGAAAGACTTATTTATTCGGAATAAATGCTAAATTAACTTTAAATGAATAAAGTAAACAGTAATGATTCTCCTTAGTAAATTAAGTAAATTATTAATTTTTTTCTCTGTGGTCCTGCACCAAATGAGCCACGGACCAGTACAGGTTCATGCACTTGGGGTTTGGAACCCTGCTTTAGAGCAGCAGTTTTCATTGAGAAATCAATCTGTGCTATAGAAAAGAGATGTATTCAGCTCACCCGGGGAGCAGTGTGTGGGGATGGTGCCATGCAACCCTCTGGACACCGACAAAAACACATAAACAAAACAAAGCGGCAAACAAAAAATAAAACTACGTGCATATCGAACGATGGAGATTTTATGTGTACTTGAGCACCTAATACACACACTGTTAAGATACGGTATATATTGAGGCTGAAACAATTACAAATTGAACCACATATGAACACACAGCCATATACATGAACATGTTTCAGATGCTGCATTCATTAAAAGAACCATTCTGTATTCTGATGATATCTACCATCTGCTACATTGTACAGTCATAACCAGCACACATCATAACCAAAACCAAAACTTTATCTCTAACCCCCGAGGTCAAAAGCAGTTAATCCCTAATCCCAAATTTTGATCCAACCACAGTACAAAATTAATTAACTCTAATCTGAATCAGTGCTTGTAAAAAATTACAACAACAAAAAAAAAATGTTTGTGATAAGGAGAAACAGTCCTCACAGGATTGGGTTTTATACCAGAAGAAGACATAAAACATACATACATATATACATACACACACACACACACACACACAGGAAGCATATATATATATATATATATATATACTCTCATCTAAACCGCAAGACACACACACATGCAGCCATTTTGCTGATGAATGGTAGCAAGAAGACATTCGATGTTAGACATAAAGGTATACATATATGAGACAAATAAACCCTCCAGTCCTGTATTTTCTCAGCAGAGATATGGCAGATATGGCAGCGTGGCACAGCCAGATAAAATAACACCTTAAGGATCTAATCCAGTCTGTGAAGAAACTGTAACTGCAACAGTGCTTTATATGGATTCTATCAAAATAAAATAAAAAAGGTCATTTGAAATCACAAAGGAAAAATAGGGCTGTGTTAACTTAGATATGTGACAGAACAGGATGAAATATGAAGGGTAGGAGCAAAAGTGGAAAGGAAGATTTACAAGATGGAAGTGTGAACTGCTATGATGGATGCTGAGCTGGAGAAGAGGCAAAGACTCAAACATTTTCACTGGTAATGACCAGAATGGAATAAAATTAATGGTGAAAATGGTTTGGACAAAAAGCACACATGTGAGGCAGGGAGCTGAAATGCAGAGACCAAAAGAGGATTCTGGAAAGTATTATGGCTATAATAGAGGAGGACATGACGATCTTTGGTAAAGCTGTAAAGGGAAACGGGGACTAGAGGGAGATGCGGGCCAGTGATTGGCTGGGGGGATCGCATTACGGATCAGCGAGGAGAATAACATCTATGCTGTTGATCCCAGCGTGTTCTGACACCAACTTTTAAGATGCTTAAATTTAACCACGGATGAGTATTAGACAGTATTAGACGGTCGTATAAAAGACTAATAAAGTACAAAGACTTTCGGGAAAAAAAGACGGTACAGCTTCTAGAAATGCCTGCTTTTATTTTGAAAAACAATTGTGCATTTTAACACATCATGATGAGCCACAACCCAGTCTTTGCTTGTACATTTCAAGCCTTGACTTTCTACGTGTTTTTTTTCCCCTTAAATCATTGTTCGTATATGTAAAGGTTCAGGTGATGTGACTAATTTGTACTGATTCTGAAATTTTAAAATAAAGTTAAACAATATGCATTACCCAAACTTCTTTTTTAAAATATGTTCTATTTTATATTGTCTTTATCATTTGTGATGTGCCAGTATGAGTTAATAGAGTCAGGGGGTTTGTGGTGGTCCCTATAGCACTGTGAAATGCCTCAGGCTATCAACAGGAGTGCTTTTCTGAAATATTGCACTAGGTGCATTTTTTAAATTTAGGGATTTACTGAAGGCTTCCACTGAAATGGTGAACTAGGGACCTTTTATTTTAGCGACCATATCAGTCTTAGTCGAAAACCACAGAAGCTGTGAAGGAACTTTTTTGTTCATTTATTATTCTGTGTTTCCATGTGCTTTGTATTTTAAATATTTCCAAGTGTTCCGTGATTGTGCCATTTCTTCAAAATAGGTCTGTTAAATAAAATCTGCAGCTTTACCTGTCCAGAGCGATGGCAGTCATGGAGTAGATACTGGCAAACACAGCCGCGATCGGGAAGAAGTTGTGGAAGCGGCAGTAGACCAGTCCGAAGTACCACTCGTTGTGCACGGCGTAGGTAAAGTTGATGACGGTGTTGAACGCCGACATGGAGGCTTCGGCGAACGCCAGGTTTAGCAGAAAATAGTTGGTGACTGTCCTCATGCGCTTATGCGCCATGATTATCCAGATCACTGTCACATTACCAACCACGGACACAATTACTATACAACTGTACGCCATGGCCCAGAGTACAATTCTCCAGACTGGCTGCACGAACTGGTTCCCGTACGTGGCGTTCACATGGTTATTGGTGTCATTTGGAGAGCTGGTCCAGTTTGGCCCATCGGTGGAGTTGAATAAAGGATCCATCTTGAAATTCACAGCAGCAAAAAGTCTAGAAATTAACTTAAATCATCACTAAATTGTGTTAAAGATTTCGTGCCAAACCAGTCTGGTTACCGTGAGTCGTCGTGGTGAGCGCGCAGGGCAACACGCTTTCAGACCAGAAGACTGTGCTGTGTGTGAAGAAAAAAAATAAAAAATCCTTTCACACATTCAGTAATTTAAAATTAGCTTTTTAGAACATCAACTTTAGGCAGAGTCTATTTCTCTTTCCAACTGTTGCTCGTGCGTAAAAACGAAAATGCGCGTCTTTGCGCATGCTTTCGCCCGGTACAGAGAAAGATGTGTTCAGTGTCTGTGTCCGCTGCTCTGTGCGCTCTCCTCTCCTGCTGCTCTCCTCTAAATGAACAGCTGAACACGCGGCGTATGGCAGTGAGCTGCGGCTCACCCGTCCAATAGACAGCCACTATAATTATGACTATGGATGAGCCAGGTATAATTCATCCCATTCCAGTCAGAGCGCACGACGAAGTCCGCAGAATGACCATCAAATACAGCTATTTCCAGAGGATTGCATAGATGTTTGTGAAGACAGTTTCTTTCAAAAAGGAAAACTAAATCCGATGGGTTTAAATGTATACGTCAAGTACTAGAAACCTGTATTATTTGTAAATGATAATAAACAGAAGGACATTTCATCAGCAGCAGCTCAATAAAAAACCTACCTAGACTCTATAGTTTAACCCTAATGAAATATTTAACTGTCTGTGTCTCCACAGTGACCTGGACAAGAATATCATCTGGGTTTTATAAGAGCAGACCACTCCTTGATATTTTCCTCCAATGACCCGTGTCTTCTCAGTGTTTACAGCACTAAGCTCCATAAATTTCTTCTCTTATGTTGGTGTTTCTCCCCCCAGTAGAGCAACACCTCAGAACGAATGGGCTCATTTTAAAGGATCTGCTTCCTGCAGGCTCACCACTAGACCCCTGATGGCACTGAAACACTGAACAAACCTGACCACCATAATGTCTCACTACAGTTTTCTGATTTTTTTCTCTTTTTTTTTTTTGTTTTTCTCAGTTTCACCACATTTGTGGTCCCACAGACTGAGCTTCAATGTTTTTGATATTTTTCTTTTTAGGGGTGGGGGCGTGGTTGGATTATTCTTTGATATTTACATTCCTCCAACCTCTCACATGTTTTGTTGTTGAATATGCTACATGATAAAAGGCAGTCGTTTTAGTTTAATTTTTAAATTTAAATTTTGAAACTCTGCTTTCATACCAAATATGTACTTTTTTTCCCATTCTCTCTAATTCCATTCTTTACCATTAAGATAAACTTTTTATCTCTGGAAATTCCCTGAAAGTGTTAAATTAGTGTGTGGATGCTCACCTCCCCAAAAAAGAGAAACAATTAATGGCATTAATGTTGTTCAACCTTGGGGTCGCAACCCCATGTGGGGTCGTCTTGAATTCAACTGGAGTTTGCCTTAAATCATTTAAAATGTATTGGTGAGATTCTTTGGTCCTTTTGGGTCCAAAGAATCTCACCCAAAACCAAAGATTTAACTGTGGTGGTCTGAGATTGCGTAAGCTCAAAACTCCCTGTACTGAATTTAAATATTTAAAAAAGTAGTTGTTGTGGTTTTTAATTCTCCAAACTGTGATCCCTTTCAGTTAAACACCATTATTTTCACATTAGAGCTCAATCTTTTTTTTTTCCATTTATACTCACCAATCATACATCAACCAGCATGTCAGACTAAAGCCTTTCAGATTAACAGACCATTTAGTTACAACTGTAACAAGTGTAGCTTGTGTTTTAGGTGCATTAGGCAGGCATGTCATGATTTTTTTTGACTGGAAGGAGAACTTTGACCTTTCTCCTGTTCTTATTGCACAGATGGTCGAAAGTGGTCTCCATTGTTGTGCCAAATGAAATTTGGGAACATTGTGAATGAACCAAAAGTTGCATATATGTTGAAATGTGCTGAAAAGAGAAATCATCCATCCATTTTCATCCACTTATCCGTTACTGGGTCGCAGGGGCAGCAGTCGCCAAATCACACTGCACCGTACCAACCCCCCTAAACCTTCCTGCAGGTGGTGATTCCACTGGAAGGTACCAACCGCCCTAACTGGGATTCGAACTTGCCCAGGAGGTGAACCCTGGGGTTCCACACCAATGACAGAGATGTTGCCTCTGGGCCAAAGCTCCACTGAAAAGAGAAGTGTAAGACTAATTTCACAAAGTCTATAAAATAATTTGAAGTATAGTGATAAAAGAATAAATGTATGTGCACACAGATAGACATTGATGGGTTGTGTTGTAATAATTGCATCTGTCTATGTAGTTCTCAGAACTGTTTTGCCACATTGCATTGATTTAGAATGACATTTTAATTATAATTACAGACGTCGACTTCCTGGTGCTGATGGGGGTCAAATGTCATGGACTCATCCCCTCATTAGGGTGAGCATTCATCCTCTGGAGACAATCAATGTCCTGACAAATATTGCTCGACTCTATTGATGGAGAAAGTTAATTATGATTATGACAGGTCTGGTGTCCAAACTGTTAACTATTAACGCACATACAGTATTTGCTCGGAGTCATTGTATATGTGTGAATCCAAGACTTTTGCATTGATTTATTTTTCATTTGTTTGTCCAAAGAAGAAGAAGAAAAAAAAGAGGACAGATGATGACAGGAAGTGTTGGGGTAAACTTACAGTGTAATCTTAGACTAAGGTTATTTCAAAGTGAAAACAGTTTTGATTGTTGTGAAGCACAATTTCAAAGTATTATATTTTTGAATGAGGATATTATAAAAGTTTTGTCACAGACAACAGCAAGTTTGACATAACGTTCCCTTATAACAGTTCTTTACCTCAGCAGAACATATTAAACATAATAAAAAAGATCTACATTTTCTATCACAATACCTGAAAAATATTTAATTTTTTAAAAAAATGTTATAATACAGTATCCTGAAACCTTTAAGATGAATTTTTCAAGATCAATTTGAGCAGCTGTAAAATCCGAGCAGTGATAAAATGACAACTGTTGTGATGGTATTATATGACCGTAGTCTGCGGTTTGATTAGCAGAAAATATAAATGAGAAAAAAATTATTTTGGAAACAGGAAAACTGGATTTGTCAAGGTTGTTCATTTTGAAGTAAAAGTAAAACAAATGAGAATCATACCTTTATGTGAAAGAAATGAAACCTTGCCAAAAAGAAATCTATCATTCATATGAAAAATAATCATTTTCTGTCCATCACCATTCATATAATGTCAAATTTAATATCTTTTTACCGTCTGCTATAGAAGAACTCGACCTTTCCTTTTAAATGTGCGTCACGTGTCAAATGCATTATGGTTAGCATGGTCCTCGCTCCGAGGACGAGGTCAACATAGGTGAAACAAAACTACTACAAAGTACAAATCAATGCCTTGTCCCAGAGTCTTTGTCAAAAAGCATCAATATGGCATCATCACACAGACTGTTGTACTGTAACAATAGGCACAGGTTTTCATTAACACTGTGCTAATTTCACTGTTTCCCCGGGTGAAATCCTTCAGGTCCAGTCATTGATCTGTGAAGCCTGTAATGTTTACAGATTTCAGACTTATTCTGTGTGAGCAACAGCTACGCGTAGCAAGCTGAGAATGACCATTTGGTGACCTTGTGCGGGATCAACATCCATGTAGACTTAGTGGTTAATCAGCCCATCCCTGGTAATGTATTACAGGCTTTTAGTGGCCCACAGTTGGAGTCCAGGTATTTAGAATAGAGGTCATATATAAACCAAGCATGAAAGAAAACAACCGCTTTATATGCTAGCTACATTTTGACTCAGTCAAACATGTGTACTGTAGCAAAAAGACAGAATGATGCCAGTTCAAGTTTGAAGTCCATATTTAGAATCTTCAAAATGCTCTTCAGATTAAGATACAAGTTTACGATTGCAATGCGTAAAATCAGACATACAGATTACAGTCAGATAAACGTGTTGGCCTGAGGTGATGCAAATGTCCCTGATTATGATGACAAGTTGTTTACTTTATCCTCCCGGTGATACAGTATTCATGACTGAGGTCCAATCAGTATGTGCTGCTCAAATTAGAGGCTATTCTGCATCTGTTGTCATCACAAATTCTAATTACTTTTCCACAGAAAATGATTTTTCTCCCACATGCTTCCCACAGGTTCTCTGCTGTTTGTGATGCTGGCTAGACAGCTATTTATGACTAACTACTGACATTTTTACCATAGAGGCTGACAATTTGATTGGCTTAATTTTGTTCTTCTAGCTCAGCAGTTCCTAAACATTTTTAGCCACGCACCCCTTCTATATCGCAACCTGTTTGACCAGACCAAAATGCAACAAGCTTTCCAATAAAGACAGTATGTTGAATCACCAATGACCAGGAAACACATATAACAGAATAATGTTTACAATAATTCGCTCATGCATTTGGAAAAAAAAAAGAAATCTGACAAAGTTTTAATGTAATGCAACAGAGTAAAAACATGAACAACTCCCTCCAGCCCCCTCAAAAAAAAGTTACAGCCATAACACTTTTTATATTAGGCACCAACTACTGGCAGCTCATGCACATCAAGGTGGGTGCGCACCATCCTTTGGGAGTCCCTGTTCTATCTTTTTAATTATATTTATATAACAAATGACTAATGATCTCTGTGGAAAATAGCTTTTATAGATGAATAATAAACTGTATTTCTCTTACAGATTTTTCAGGTTCACTGGCTGCTATGTGACATTTCTTTCTGGACTTTCAACTTTTTCTAGAATAAATTACAATTTTAAATATGATGATTGTTTATTTTTAGCCCGTCTCATTTGTCTTTTGCCTAAATATAATTCTATGGCATTTTTCCTAAATGACATTTTACTGTTACCCTCTGCTCATTCCTGAGTGGCAGACAGCATCAGTAATTAGCAGGTGTTGCCTTTGGTAGTTGGTCACTACAGCTGCCATTCATGTCTTAATACCAGGTTGCATTTATCTTTTTTATTTTATTTTTTTATGAAAGGCTCTGTATGAATTCATTACATCAAAAGCCTATGTTCTTTTGTTTGTAGCCTTTATCTCTTCCGGCCACACAGGGCAGGCCTTTGACTACAAGCATGGCAATCTTTGCAATTCCATAAACCATTTGAAAGAAGAAAAGAAATAGAAAGTACTAAAGGAACTCCTGTGAGTCTTCAACAAAGACGGGCCGGTGCCAGCACCTGAAGGAAAGTACCAGATGGTAGACATCCTTAAGGGAAAGCAGAAAAAGCACAACAGCAAACACATTAACTGTTGATTAACTCCCTGTCAGACCAAAAGCTTTTGGTTTTGTTTGTATGACGAGGTAGTGAAGGCAACGCTGTGGGATTTAAATGCACTTTTTTATTTATTTATTAAAGAAAGTGGTTGGGAGAAATTCATGGAGATGAATTTGAAGGATAGAATAATTTTGATTCACAATGTGATTTCACGTATTTAAATGGTGTTTTGCTTGAGCTTATTTCTGACCCTGAATTGACCTCAAAATGAGTTGGTTTTTAGCGTGGCCATATCTTGCAATTGAAAAATAAACCAAGCTCTTTTATGCAAGAGGAGTGAGGGCGATTTTGGCTTTGATGAACTGCTCACATCCCATTGAACCATTACAACTATTGTAGATGTGAATTATTGTCCCTAACAGGGACTGATGAATATACTGTTGATGAATAAATGCCTTTTTGAATGATCCAAGAAATGCCACATTTATTCTCTTCTCTGTCTGTCAAATAATTTCTGCTCAATTATTATAGTCGTGTGGGAATGGAGGCAATCTCATCATGCATCGCTGACATCGGATAAAACAGCCCACCATCACAGAACAGTGCATGATGTCTTCATTTTCTACTGATCCCAGAGGGGCAGTTTTACAGCCATGTTTCCCTGAAGGAATGGTGGTGAAGGTGGAGAAACGCGAGGACAGGTCTGGTTGAAGGACTCCAGCGATTGATTAAATGTTACCTACTGATTTATCCTACCAAAAGTCAGCTCAACCCTATCTTATAACCACTTACAATGTGGTGTAAACAGAAGAAGAGGTCAAATTAAATTTTGAAACGACACACCTTATTTGATGTAGTAATGTAATGTATGGCAATGCAGAGATACCTTTATTAATAGCTAACTTAATTGTGGCTTAAATTGGTGCTAGGAGCATATATTTAACATAGAACCATCAGAGGGTTTTTGCAGTTTAACTGAAGCACTTTTCAAAGCATCATAGCCCTTGCAAGGTCACTTGCCAGAAGAAAAGATTTTTTTTGTAAATTCCCATAACACTTAATCAAATGGCTAATGCGGAGGTCAGACTTCAGATGTTTTTTAATTGTTGTCACTGTGTCTGAATCAACAATAAGCCTTACAATTGTGCTTAGTTAACAGGCAAACATGACAGAGAAACATAATGGTGCCTGCCATGTTCAATTACCACAATTGACATGGAGATGCCAGGAGGCCGAGCAGCATGGCCCACCAGACTTTTATCACAGCTGTGCTATGTAACAGCTCATCTGTAAAGAGTGCACTGGTTGCCCGGTGAGGTCGAAGAAAAACACAAGTATCGCTACTCCTAAGCGATGCAGTTTGTTTATAGAACATTTTTTCTTCAGCACTCCTGGTGTAACGCCACAACCTTCCTTCATAAATCTGGCCATTTGTGATATACAATCTGTGATTTATTCAAATGTTCTGCCCTTTTTATTCTAGACTTTGAACTGCAGTCTTTATTTTAAAATTGCCAAAACCTGTCCTAAATAAAAAGAACAAATTAGCAAGCAATGAATACTGACTTAAAATTCAAAACGTTTTTAAAATACAATCAAGAAGAAGAGTACAAGTAAAATAAAACTTATTAAATACAATTATGACACCAATTAAGAGTAACCTCCCGACTTCTGTTGTTTAATCTAATTACAGTAATGAGGTTAGGTCTTGAATGTACTGCCCCTTTAAGAATGAAGTCAAAACAAAGCGTGCAGTGACCGGTGTTGTGCGAGGAAGGAGCACGGAAGTGGTTGTTTCGGTGGCTATTCACAGCAGTATGGGAGAAATGAAAGCTGCTACATGTTTAAGAAGTAGTTAGCTCGCCTGTGTGCTGTTTTATAAAAAATAAGCAATTTTTCATTCATATTTTTTTAACATCGTCTGAAATAAGACCTAGCAGACTGCCTCGTTAGCCTTAGCTTCAATTGCATCAGCAGCCATGCCGTCTTATTCTGAACTGAGAAAAACAAACCACTTCTACTACTTCATCAAATTCACCCTAAATGTCTACTCTATGCTCTTCTCGGTAAGTGTCTGTATTTTTGGACTTTTGAACTCTGTGTTCAACTACATTGTCACCGCCCCATAGCACCAGAACGGATGTTCCTCCAAATTTAATTCAAAAACCGAAGTGTTGAAACTTTCATGATTCATTTTGCGAATTCGGCACATAAACAAAATACATATCAGATGTATTTTTATGTTGCACTTCCTATTGTCAAATTCGGCCCATATGGTAATAAACTACACCATCGTGTTTGTTTGCAATTTCAAGTGAAGTCGCGGACTCTTCTACAGTTAACTTAAACCAAAACAGAAACACCGTGAGACACTGTGAACCCGAGATTTATACAAACTAGTCCTCGTATTTAAGACATTTAAATGCCGTGAAATATTACAAATTTAGAATTTAATCGCAAATGTCGTTTTACACTTCGTTTTTTATTGTGTGACAACGTGGTGCATTTTATGCCTAGTCTTGAGTGGGGGGTTTTGGCTGGTATTAGCTAGCGGCTCGGTGGTTAGCTTAACGACGTGGACACAACCATCTCAGTCACCACATATACTAAAAACTAAATATGGATAAATTATGAGTAATACGTGGGTGAATTATATTTTAGGTGATAGATTTGTTCTGTGATGTTATTGTAAATATGGAAGTGAGACTATTCACAGCTAGGACCGGCTCCATAAACTGCATAGTGGTGCAGGGCGTTGGATCCAGTTAAAGGGATGCCGGAGTTGGATTAAAAGCAGGCCGGCGGAAAATACGAGCGAATAAACTGTATGACCCTTTTGTTAGGGATGTAACCGATCCTAGACGATTTTCTAAATCAAATGTGTTCAACCAATATTGAATTGTATTGAAGTATGCATATTAATTTGTGTGCTAAGCATATCCAACTGGGTATTCCATTATAATATGAATATTTGTGATGTTACCATTTATCTGAAATGGTACCCATATAACATAAGATAATATATGTAAGGCAGAGATTTACCATTTTAAATGAAGGTTACTGTTCAGCTAGCAAACTAAAATGACACCTTGATCAGATTCAGTTTTTTATACATATATGCTATATAGTTTTGTCTGTACAAACAATGATCAGAAAATGTAAAAACCTTCAATGTAGATAATATTCTAAGACATGCAGCAAGTCCTGACCATAATCCAATGATGACCAAATTACAGAATCTGTAAAAGGAAATAAATGCATGTACACCATAGAACAGGGTGTTGTGTCAAACACAATCCAACCTAACAGGGTTTGGGATACTGATGTTGTTGGTTTTTGATAGAACCTGAGAGTTCACTAGTTAGTGCGGTTCGCTGCTGTGTTATGGTCACCTTCAGCATGGTCTTCATCAGACCTGCAGGTCATCAGATCTACGTACATCTTTCCAGTCTGGCTGTTATCTGTGTTACTGAAGCAGTAAAGGTAGGAAGGATGACTTTGAGAACTGGAACAAAGCCAGTTCCATCTGTCATGGCTTTAAGTGGCCAAGGAGCAGTAAACACAGTTGACGTAAGTACGAGGTAGGAGCGAGTCTTCTGCTTCTTTTCAGAAGGAACATAAATACTGTTTAGACTCCTATATTCATTGACTTTACTTAAATGACTTGAATTAGGGTTTCTGAACAACAATTCAATTTTTCAACATTGTTTCATTCATAAGACATTCTTGTTTACTGACACACTAAGAGCTAGTGTGATACGATTCAGATTAAAAATCTAGAAAAGATTGAAAATAACTTCAACACCAGAAATGTCTTCAAACTTGTCTGTCTATTTAATGAGTGAAAAGTAGTCTGTGTGCTGTTTTGTGATGTGTAAAGCACTGCACATGGACCACAGAAGGTGAAGGAGAGAGTTGTCTCAGGAGGTTAGACAGGAAATTATAGACAAGCATGTTGGTAAGAAGTTTAAGGTTAACAGAACTGGAGCCAGTCTCTCTGGATGTGGCCACAAGAGGGAACTTGATGATAAATTGAAGCTACGGATAACACCAGTGGTAACCAAAACAACCTCCAAATAAATTAAACGTAATACTCAAAACCAAGGTATATAAATGAGCACACTATCTGTCACTATTTGAGCCAAAGTGGACTTTGCGATGCCAAGGACAACTGTTAAAGGCAGGTCATCAGGTCATAAAAAAAAAAAAATACCACAATGCATATTGACAAGCCACAAAGTTTCTGGGAGAATCTCATTTGTACAAAGGAGATTCTCCTTTGGACAAATGAGACAAAACTGGAGCTTTTTGGCAAGGCAAACAGTCCCTGAAAAATGGAGAAAGGTTGTGCAACAGTATATTGAGTTAGGGGTACCATTATTTTTAACTGTCCTGGCCAGTTCCATTAGTTTGTTTTATTTATTGTTGTATTGTTTATTTCAATGAACACTGTTGGTTTTCCTTTCATTAACAGATGGGTACTTTTATTTGTGTGTGTATATGAAAGGAAATTCTACCTAGATGTATATAAAAAACCTTTTTAGGAGAAATTTCATAGATCTAAAAAAAGGCAATAAAAATCACTGTACTCTAGCTCTGTCTGTCTCTGCTGCCAAGACAGAGAACATGTCCACTCCAGTTCATTACACAATTATACAAAGTGCAAGTGCTTACAGTTGATGTGGACACCAGCCTCATTCTGCCAAAAGTCGTCTTAAGCTGAGCAAATCAAACATTATTTGGACATATAGTGATTTTTCTTCTAGTCTGGTCATCTCAGCACAGCTAAAGTTCCACATTGACTCAGTTTTCACTAAAGAAAGATTATTTGCAGTTGTTGTTTTTTGCAGTTTAATACGAAATAATATAATATATTTCACCCAAAAAGCCAGAAGTAAATACTTGTGTAATTGTTCGGAAAATACATTTCACTTGCAGCTGTGAGCTTTTTTTAATACAACAGAAGTCCTTATAGTTTTGTTACACTAACTTAATGTGTCTTTTACTAAGAGATGAAAACCCACATTGGAGAAGCTTTTTCTAAGTATACTTCATCCCTCGTTTCTGTCAGCACTATTTACATCCAAAAGCATCACTTCCTTTTTAAGAACTTATTTTTCTCTCTTTCAGCTCATGGGTCTTTGCGTGCTGTGTGTTGGACTCTATGCTGAAGTGGAGAGACAGAAGAACCGCACCCTGGAGGGTCTTTTCCTTGCTCCTGCTGTGGTGCTAATCCTGCTGGGCCTGGTGATGTTCACTGTGTCGGTGGTGGGCATGGTGGGATCCCTCAGGGACAACAAGACTCTGCTGCACATGGTAGGAATGATGGTGGAAGAGAGTGTGACTATAACTGCGGGTTAATACAAACATGTCAGTTTACAGGCTTTAACTTTAGTCAGATGAGTTCACCAGCCTCATGGAGCGGAAGGCAGTAAATAAGTCAAGCTCACTGAGAGTCGTCAAATGGATTGTGAGAGACTGATTAATATTGATTTTTATTGATTCGAATCTTTGACTCTCGAACAGTAAACAGTAAATGAACGAATCATGAACTAATCATTTCATTCGTTTTACAGCAGGTGGCGCTTTATCCCTATTGTGGGCGTTGTAAAGAAGGCTGCGGTTCTCCGACACTAAATACTGAAAGCAACATGGTTTGCTACGCTGACAAAGTCTACAAAGTACGTAAAATGCCATAAGCAATTAAAACCATGCGGAAAGCTAAGAAATAAAAACACACCACAATGACCTCATTCATCTTCAGAATGAGAGCAAAAGAGACCCGAGCTCTCTGTCACGTGACAAATGAAACGAATCTGCGAGAACGAAGCGAAAGATTAGTTCACAGAGAATGATTCGTTCATAGTGATTAGTTCACGGCGAAAGATTCGTTTGCAGAGAGTATTTCGTTTGTAGTGAAAGATTAGTTCGCAGTGAGTAATTCGTTAGTTTAATATAATAATAGTCCTTTTTTAGATTCAGTCTATTCTGGTCATGGCTACTCAATCATAAACATGTGGCTGTAGACTGCCGGTCCTCCGACATGCCTTTAAAACATGTTTTGTAACTTTTAAGCAGCACGCAGCACAAACTGTCACATTTGGTCAAGTAAAAAATGAAAACATAATTCTGTTTTCGCTAAACAATAGCAACAGATTATGAAGCATTTAAAGTGATTTTTGGCTTCTGAGGCCCTGTTTTTTCTCCACATACAAAGTGCAGCTGCTGCGGTTGTCATAAAAACCAGAGAAGCTCAAAGGCAGCTGGGATGTTCTGCTGCCATTGCCAGGCAACAATCTAATCAGCTTTAGCTCAACAGTGTGAAGTAAACAGAGGAATTAAAAGAGAAAGGTCCAAAATATTGGCTTTTTTATTTCTTCATATTCAGATTGTTGTGGGCTTGCACACTAAGTCGATAAAGAGCTGTAGAAGTGCAGGACTCCTCGTTGTGGGTCGTATATTCTGTTGCACTCAGGATTCTCTCTTCCTCCACAGTTCCTGTGCGTCCTCTGTGTGTTGCTGCTCCTGCAGGCCATCGCACTCACAGCTGCTCTGATCTTTGAAAAGAAGGTAAATGGCTTAGTGTCTGTAGTTCTCAGAGATTACACTGCTCACGGTTCTACCTCAAATGACACCCTGTTGTCACAGTTGGGGCACCTCGCACCCCTGTGTGTTTCCCACACTATGACCATTAAAACAGTTGTTTTCTGCTGCATTCAGACCATCGCCTTGTTCCAGAGCAGCATACGAGAAGGAATCAAACACTACTACGATGACCTGGACTTCAAAAACATTCTGGATTATGTCCAACAAAAGGTGACTTGATAAATCATTGATTCAGTTATCACTTTTAGAAAGGAAATGCCATTAAAACTTAATATTGGATTATAGAAATACAACAAACTAATAAAACGGTAATAAGTAGTCCAGCAATTGAAGTTAATCACGAAAATTCATCCGATATTCGAGATCGATATCTGATCAAAATTTAAGAAAAGAATGTTAAAAAATACAACTATACCCCATTTGATCCAATACCCAAGCTCAAATGTCCGCGGCATGCTTAGGGAGAAAAGATATTGGATGGATTGGTATTGGATCACTATCAGCTCATACTCGAAATTGCAGTATTGGTATCAAACATGAAAAACTCAACCATCCCTAGTTGATGGGATCGTTTTATTTCATCGGTTGATAATGGTAACTCGTTTAATGGTAAATTGCTACACTCCTCTGGTTCCTAATATATGGCAAACCCCTTTAATCCTGTGTCAAATGTATTTTTTCCTCTGATTGAGTAATGTAATGTAGAACATCTTTCTGGACTTAGTAAAAGTTCTATCTAATATGTGAAGGTGACTAATTGGACTTTCTGAAAACTAATAATATTAGCAGTGTAAATTGGATTAAAGGTGGCTCTTCCAGTGAACCGATGGACTGGGATCAACCAACATAAAAGATAAATCAGTCTGAGACCATATCAGCTCTGTCTGAGGACATACTCTGGCCACATGTTATTATTTCATCTTTATAAAAAAAAACTTCTTTGACAATAATCTCATCTATGTCTTTTGTGTGCTCCTCTTGGAGGCCACATCTGGGGAAAGCTGACATCCATCATTTTGGATGGAGGTTTCTTAACATGTCATTTTTAATTGAATGTTTTTTCCCCACTGACCGTTATATTAGAGCTTTAAATTGATTGTCAGTCAGCATCAGTCACATTGACCTGCACTGTGTACAATGTTAGCGCTAGATAGACACAAAGATAAAGTGTTTGTTGGTCTCAGAGGATAAAATAAGTTTTGTCTTTGTTTCTTCTGACAGTGTTGCCTAATCTCTCAATATGGTTTACATTTTCCAGTTTTCCTGCTGTGGAGGAGATGACTACAAAGACTGGGGAGTCAACCAGTACCATTTCTGCAATGGTACTGGTCCACTAGCCTGTGGGGTTCCTTACACATGCTGTATTCACAACGAGGTCAGTGCTCTCCTCACGTAACAACTGATTGTTGTACGTCTCAGTTCAGTCAATGTTCACAGTAAAACACACTTCCTGTCACTTCATAAGACACACTAGTTAAACTGCTCCATTCAGCTGGCAGTCAGCACAGAGACAGGCACAAGAAAACGTATTAAAGTTCAGACCAGGCATCAGAAGAAGGAAGGTGATTTAAGTGGTTTGGGATTTTATCACAATCATCATCTGCTTACAGAATATGTAAAAAAAAAAGTATCCAGTGAGCCAAATAACACAAGTTAAAATTACAGTGAATTAGTGTTACAGTAAAATATTATAGTTTAGTATTACATTATAGTATTTTTCACATTTAGCCCTACAGTTTATTTATTAAACAGGAAATAACAGAAAATAGAGGCTTGCTGCTGTCCATGGTGCTGAACCACATAATGACTACGGATTATATTAACTCATGACCTGTTCAGGTTTACTTTACTGTTAATCCATCATGAGATTAAAATGCTGTATATTTAATTACGCTGTTTGCTGCTCTTAATCTGTTACAAAATGATCGTACATTTTACCTGTGAGATTGTCCTGCTCCTCTTGAATACACTGAGAAATCATTAGTTCTGATGTTTTCCTGCATCCGTTGTGTAGTTCGAATACTGACCAAAAGAATGGGCCACAAACTAAAGTAAATGTAGAGCATTTGTTCACATAGATTGTTACAAGAAATGTCAGAAATACCAAAGCTGTTTTGTGTGCTGGCAGGCCTCTTCTGTTTACCAGGGTCTGTGCTGAGATTGTGTTTTTAAATGTAATGCTGTCACCTGGTCTCCAGTGTCTGTGGTGTGCCTCAAAACCCATCACTGCTTTATACACATTCATTCATTAGAGATGTAGGAGCTGATTAGAAAGTTAATCTGAACATTGGCCAGGCTCTTATCAGTTCCTTCCTGTCAGGACTGGAACCGTTCTGTAAATGTCAAGTTCTCGCTCTGGCGGGCAGCGGGCAGTTACACCCGTTTGTAAGGAACATTACATCTTCCCAGGGAGTTCTCTGTGGCCATCTGAGCCCAGTTAAAGCACTCGCCTCTCTCTAATGTCTGGACTCTTATGCACAGGTCGGAGAGGTCATCAACACTCTGTGTGGTTACCAGACTCTAATGAAAGAGGTAAGGGCTAAATTACTCATTGTACTGAATGTATGATGAGCATAACTCACATATGTTATATCAATGATAAATATTATTGACGTTTAACTCGTGAGCTGTGTGGTTGCAAATATGAAGTCAGAATGAACTCTAGCTTTGTCCTGTTTATAATTAATTTGTTAAATGATGACTAAAACAACTTTAGTCATCATTTAACAAATTATGCTGTTTTAGCTACATTATTTCTACATGTTTCTAATTCTTATTCAGGTAAGATGAACCTAATGCTTACTATGTATTTCAGTGTTGTTGAAAATATATAAAGAGTTATATCCATACCATCATTTCTTGATTACACTAAACATTTGAAAAAAAGCCAAAAATAAATGTGTTCAAATGCTGTGCATAACCAGTGTACAAATTCAACAAGACATTGAATTGAATAATTTACAATTTGACACATTGGTTACTTTTCTGACACTCGCAGTTAGTCACAAGTCCTCAGCAGTACTCTCTAATAGCCTGAGAGATGATTCAGTCACAATCTATGCCGTTCTTTCCCCAAAATGCTGTGGAAAGTTGAAAAAAACAAAACAAACAAATGCTTGTTTTTCTCCTCTGTTTCCCAGCGTGAAGCTCTGCAGAACTTGATCCATGTGCGAGGCTGCATCCATGCAGTCAACCTGTGGATGAGTGACAACATTGGAATCACCATTGCTCTGTGCTGTGCCATTGGGCTGCCACAGGTAATTTATTAACCACGTCGTTAACTAACCACCACGATAACACATTGAATTAGTTCCTGTACAAAGCTGTGTGGGTAAAAGTTCACAATTTAGTCTTTTTCTCTATGAACTGTATTTACAACAGACCTAGCTGGCCAGGCCGGTGCCCCCCCACCCTCAGAGGAGAGTGATTACAGTAATTACTCTGGGAAACTGGCTGCTTGAATACTGTTGTTTTTCTGCAGCATCACTGCCTCACAATAACCTGTGGCTCAGACCTGTCAAACTGTCAGAGTAAACGAATAAGAGACTCAATTAAGAAACTCTGTGTTGCAAGTTTGAAATACCACCTACAGCTGTATTTGAGCAAAAACTTGTAGATTGGTGTCAAGTGCTGGTTGCATTTATGGCCTTATTTCCATCATGTAATATAATAATGTGCCATTATTTTGCCTTTTCATCTGATTTTCAATTTACACAATATTATGATTTGAACTTTCTCATAGCTTTCTTATATCTTTTATAACACACTCTTAGTTTCCATGTGTGAAATGGAGCCTCCAAACTCAACAGAAACTGAAGTTCCCTTTCCCTTTGTCACCTGACTTTGACTCAATAAATTCCATAGAAATAATGCAGCAATTTAAAATCCTGCAGACAGTTATTTGTGCGTCTCCATTTTCCTGCAGCTGCTGGGCATCATCTTAAGCTGCATCTTCTGGAACCTGCTGGTGGACATGAGCGAGTCGGCCGACATGGTGGACTTCAAGCTGAAGAAGGCTGAGTTCAAATACAGCGACCTGGATCTGTCCGGTGCTGGCTGGTGCATGTGTCTGCCCAGGGATGAAGGCTACCTGCCCGTCCCCGACTCTGAGCCAACACTTGACCCCATTGACATCCACCTGCAGAAGCTGAAGAAGCAGCCTCCACGTACACACTCACAGCTCCGGGAGCTGCAGCAGTCCAGATCGACCACAGGGCTAGACGAGGTGGACGTGGGGCGGAAACAGAAAAGGGAACACTAAGTGGGTTCTTTTTACCCTTTCTTGCCTTTGGGGTCTTACGGAGCCCCTAAAAGGACATGGGGGGAAAAAACCTAAGCATTTGAGCTTCCTGTGCCTATACCCGTAGGCTCTTTCTTTCTTTCATGACTTATAATCCATTAGTTGTATTATATATTTCGTGATAAGTTTCACATTATTTCATAATAAGTTTCACGTAATTACGTAATAACTTTCACATTGCAGTGGTGATATCTGTAAAGTACACTGATTGTTACATATGCTCAGACTGAGCAGTTAGAATAGAGAACTGGACCCAAAAGAAAAATCACTGAGAGCAACAGTTAAGTGCACAGCGAGAAAATCCCGAGGCGCCAAATCTTCACCCTCCGTGGCAACGTGCTCCAAAAATCCTGGACAAACATCCACAGAACAAATACGGATTATCAATAGAGAAACAATTCATGGGGAAATCGACTTCTACTTCTTCTTCTTTTTCTTTCGGCTTTGTTTCTTTTTTTCAGGTGTTGCCACAGCGAATCACTGATTTCCATCTCTCCCTGTTCTCTGTATCTTCTACTCTGACTCCAACTATCTGCATGTCCTCCCTCACTGCATCCATATATCTCCTCTTTGTCTCCTACCTGGTAGCTCCATCTCTGACATTCTTCTACCAATGTATCCACTGTCCCTCCTCTGCACATGTCCAAACCATCACAATCTGGCTTCTCTAACTTTTTCTCCAAACCTTCCTGCCTGTGTTGTTCCTCTGATCGTGATAATTCCACCTGGGTTGTAATGGCAACGCTCTGGCGCTGGTTCCATGGTGAAGCTGTGTTTAAATACCTCTTGTCAATCAAAGAGTTGGTGTGAGATGCCCATCTAAGAAAACTCAGCACCTAATGGACTGGAGGACACTGGCTTCAGCAACGAAACATAGAAGGTGGGATGCATTTGAAGAAAAGCTTCGGCTTGATCGCTGATGGACTAATGACTCTCTCCACATCATATGGGCCAATGAATTTAGGAGCTAGCTTCCTGCTCTCAACCTGTAATTGAATGTTTCTGGTTGACAACCATACCTTCTGGTCTGTCTCATACGAAGGGGCAGGAGACCGACGCTTGTCTGCAGCCGTCTTCGTCCTGACTTGAGACTGCAGGAGTGCCCCCCTTGCCACTCTCCAGACTCGACGGATTCGCCGAATATTCCCCTGCACCGAGGGAACTGCTACTTCCACCTCCTGTTCGGGGAATAAAGGAGGTTGATAGCCCATGGCAACCATGGATGGTGACATACCTGTGGCGGAGGTAGACAGGGAATTGTGAGTATATTCCACCCAGTGGAGGAAAGCGGTCCAAGAAGCAGGGTGACGGCTCGTTACACAACGAAAATCAGTCCCGAGATCCTGGTTAGCCCTCTCTGCCTGTCCGTCGAATTGGGGATGATAACCAGAGGATAATAAGGTTGAAGCCCCCAACGCTTTAAAGAATGCTTTCCATACTTGTGATGAGAATTGTGGGCCTTGGTCTGACACGATGTCCTGGGACGTACTGGAGACGAATGACATGTACTAGAAGGTCTGCTGTCTTCTAGCACGAGCCCCCCCCCCCCCATGTCCCTTTAGGGGCTCCGTATGGTCTTGCCTTTTTTCTGTCGTATTTGGTGCATTTATTGATACTTACTGGTGGAAGATTTCATGTTTTTGGATCAAAAGACTTTTACTCAGTTTTTGGCACTTTGTTGATTAATTTGTTTACAATTCCATTTAAATAGGAACAAAGATCGGGCCATTTTCTTTACAGACAGTTTAATCTTTTTCAGACAGTCTTTTTTTGACTGTTTTAATTTAAACATTTTTATGGTGTTGTATCATTTTATTTATTTATTTTTATCCATTGATATTAAGCTAAATCTGTGCTGAATTTTTTACCTCAGGCTGTTTTTATTAAAATAGCCCCATATTTCGAGGACAGTTCTATGTGTCTGTACTTTAAATCTTAGCTGGAAAACAAATTGTTTTTAACATTTTTGTTCTGGTGTTGGAGGATTATGAATAGACCAGTATGTTTGTGTGTAGCATCAGTGATGGATGTGTACAGTTTGTGTTTCACTGTTTATTATTATTTAGTTTTATGTGATTTTGTGCAATTGGTGTACATTGTAAGACTGACAGAAGAAGAAAACATGGGATGCATGTTTTGTACTGTAAATGAAGTCAAATTAATTCGACATTGGTTTACATTTTAGGCGGGCTGTCACAAGAGGGGGAAACAAAAGTCATTGTGAAAACCTTTACTTTAATCCTTTTTTTAAAAAATCCAGGGGTTCATTACGAGTGCATTTTCAGTTAACTACATTTTTGTTTCTTTTTATCTTATTCATGCACTCTTTTTAACACTACTCCCCTCAACCCCCATCGCACCTGCCTCAGCACTACTGTTCTGATAAATAAAGCTGAATTTGTCTACTGATGTTGTGTTCTATGTCTACCTATTGTGTCTGCCTTTAATTAAGAGAGGTTTTCTGATGTCATACTATAAGAAAGGAGAAATGAAAAAGACAGAACTACCTTTATTCACCTGAGAAGAAGATACATTATGTTACTAGGGCACAGTAAATCATTGATATTATTAAGTAGTTATAAGTAGGATATGGATGAATATGAAGTGTGCTAAACAGATGGAAGGAATACTTTGAGGAGTTGTTAAATGAGGAAAATGAAAGGGAATGTGGGAATGAGGAACCAGAGACTAGTAGGAAGAAGGTAGATCAGGTTAGAAAGGATGAAGTTAGAAAAGCCCTGAAGAGGATGAAGAGTGGAAAGTCAGTTGTCCTGATGACATACCAGTGGAAGTATGGAAGTGTTTAGGAGAAGTGGCGGTAAATTTCCTGACTGGGTTGTTTAACAGAATTTTAGAGACAGACAAGATGCCTGATGAGTGGAGGAAAAGTGTTCTGGTGCCAATTCATAAGAAGGGTGATG